ACACGGCACTGGCCCGGTTTTATGGATTACCCAAAATCCACAAGCCGACCGATTGTTGCCTTGAAAGGCAGCCCCACTTACAATCTATCCAAGTGGATGGCCCGAAAACTTAACTTTCTCAGAGAAGGCTCAAGGACCTCCATCAATTCGGCCTTCCAATTCCTGGCCGACATCCGAGGAAAAGTTGTCCGTCCGGAGCAGATCATGGTGTCCTTTGACGTGGTTTCATTATTCACGTCCATCCCACCGGACCTGGCACGCGACGTTCTCCGCAAACGACTCGAAGAGAATTACGACGAGACGAACAGACCCCTAAAAATCGATCACTTACTGTAACTGTTTGCTTTCTGCCAACAAACCTACTTCACCTTCAATGGCAGAACATACGAGCAGATCAAAGGAACGCCGATGGGTTCGCCAATATCCAGCCTGGTTGCAGAACTAGTCCTGCTGGAGCTGGAAAAAGTCGCCTTCGACCACTATGAACCTGCATTTTGGCGCCGGTACGTGGACGACACGTTCGTCATAATTGAAAGGAGCAGACTGGCCGACTTCCAAGACCTGCTCAACGGCTTCTTCCCAGACATTCAGTTCACAAGGGAAGAAGAGCACGCCGAACAGCTGCCTTTCCTTGACGTTCTCGTCACACGCACACCCAACGACGAACTCAACACCACGGTGTACAGAAAGGCGACTAACACGACTGAGATTCTCAACTGCCACAGTAACCATCCAATGGCGCATACACACAGCTGTGTTAGGACACTCTTCCAGTGAGTAAAAACGATTACGAGACCTTCGGCATCTTCGGGACCAACTGGCAAGGAATCGATACCCGAACGGCTTCGTCAGCCGCTGCCTCCGCACGCGCCCACGGCGAACAAACGGAGGGGAGCCGCCAACACTCTGACACCCTCTGCCATATATAAAGAAGGTGTCTGAAGCGATGGAACGTATCGCTGGAGAGCTCGGCTTGGGTATCGCTCACCGTCCGACAGCGACCATACGCAGCAAAATCATGCAAGTGAAGGATCGTTTAGACTTGGGAGAACAATTGGGTGTCGTTTATCAGATCCCATGTCGGGACTGTCCTCGTCACTACACTGGACAAACCGGACGACGACTTAGCTCACGAATAACGGAGCAGAAACGGACGGTCCGCAGAGGCTACCCGTTGTCTCAGGTCGCCACTCACACCCAAGAGGCCACGAATTCAACTTTGCGAGCATGCGGATAGTGGCGCGGGCCAAAAATAAGACAGGACGAGAACTGTTAGAGGCCAGAGTGTCTGACACCAACTCTATCAACAGGCACGTTGACATACCCCTCTTCTATCACGCGCTCCGTTCCCGCGGCCAAGGGGCGAGACCCAATTTTTTAGCCAAGGGTGCACGCAGTCACGCCAACGTGAGACGGCGTGGGACTCAACGTATCGCGAATACCACCCTCTGCACTCATTTCTCTCCCCCCCTTCATGGCGTGACTACAAAAACCGCTCATTTGATGTTGCCTTCTCACAGTCTCTGACGATGGCCTCCTGTACGAGACCGAAAGCTCAGACTAATAAACCTTTCTGTCCCAGAGATCGGGTCTGCATCTTCTTTATAAAATCAATTTGTCTAAAGTGGAGAGAAATGAAACACTTACCTTATTTATTTCCTCAAAATGCTTACGGTAATGATTTTGAGCACCAATATAAGAGACAAATGTATAGGAGTATGTAGTTCCTATCCGACGCCCAAACCAAGTAACCGTTGACATCTGCATTTCGTAAAGTATGCGTAAGAACTGGTTTAGCGACGCCTGAACATGTGCAACACGAAAACAACGCACATTCTGCGGGCTGCATTACGCACCTAGCATTTACATTCCAATACTCTGATTGTAGTTTGCATAAGAACTTCTTCATCTGCACACGCCTACAGCGGGCTTCACTGTCTTTCTGCCGCCTAATCGGACTCATGACGTGTGTCTGACTGTGTTGGACGATTATTTACACTGCATTATTAGTCGTCACCTAACTGGAGGCTGGTTTATGCTCATACGATATTATTTTGTCTAGTGATGCGTCTGTTTGCCACCAGGTGGATTCGTTGTCGGTCAGCGACTGGTTTATTTCCTTCCGTCTATTGCGCTCACTCTGATGCGGCTTTTGTGTAGGCAATGAAGCAGGCCTTATTAGCCAGCAGGAAATCAATATTGCCGTTGATTAAACTTGCAACATAAACGCATGTATCAAACGTGAATGCCTCTGACGTTGATCTGCATTGCTCACCACAGTAGTTTTTAAAGGTAGGCAGTAGAAATGGACCACTGTTAACAAAGAGACGGTATTTCAATTATCTGCCATGAGACGATTATCATCCACGAGAATCACTGAATTTAAAATACTCCAGTCTTCGTATCTGTGGCTAATTTGACTAGTCAATTTGCTGGAGGATTTAAAAATAATCATCAGAAATCCATGATTTTAAACAGCAGTCATTATATCACATGGTAGAAATTCCAGTGGGTCAAACTTAACGCAGCAGATGTTAGACCGATGAAATACCTTCATCGGGGCGTATTTCACTAGTGTTTGATCACCCGGCAATTGCTCGACGTAGAGCACGTGTGTTCTTAAAGGATAGGCACGCGAGGATCTGTTGATTTCCGAAACACAAACGCTGTGAACAATACGACAGCAGTCATTAAGAGGCGACCAAATGCTACACATCCTTTCGTACAAATAGCCATTAAACGTAGCATAAACCAGAAGGAGCTGCCCTCCGTTTGACAGGGATGTGCTCTGTAAACTGACAGATTCTAATGTGTCAAAACAAAGGTTAAAATTATCGAATCATCATATAAAATCGATACCCACACCAAATTAAATAGCTTTGTTTATCAGTAGTGACATTCGATAGTACCGCCCATCAATAGCTCGTCAATACTTCTTATCTGTCAGTAACATGCTGACGGCCCTGGATCATCGCACGATTCCCATTTATTAACGCTGCAAAGACGTCAAATAATGGAAACTGTTATTTCAATGCAACACTTCGGAATTCATTTTCTTCCGACATAGTCTACTCGAATAGTCATCGTCAATCTAACCTACAGGGATTGCGGTGTCTACGCATAAACGCGATAGAATAGCAAACGCTTGTGCCTTTGAAAGCGTAATTTGCAAACGTGATTTATTTCATAAATGTCCGTGGGAAAACGAAATGCGTGTTAAATAATTCCTGTGATATCAAAACGCAAGCCAGGACATCTCTCTGTGCTATACTCAGGGCACCTTCGTTTTGTGAGCTGTGTAATTGAAGTTTTCGTATATAGTAATTCACCATAAATGGTTCACAGATCATATAGGTGATAGCATTCCGACAGGCAATATCTAATCGAGAAGAAGTTATTATGCGGATTTTGAAAACGAGTGATATCAGTTGCTTCTTCAACCAAATCCGGAAATCTTCTTGACCTGCATCCCGCTTCTTTCGCTGCGTTTTGGATATTTTCCCTCATTTTACTCCCTCTGCTTCTGCTAGTGAACTCTCAATTTGTCCAGTCTCTCATAGTAAGCACAGTATTTTTCAAGAACTCCAAAATTTTGTTTTATCCTTATATCGATGCAAGGAACTCATTTGTCCAATTCTGAGATAAGCGCATAAAAAGTGTGCTGCTAATTATATGTAATCCGTTGCACAAAGAGTTAGCACTTGTTCACTCGAAATTCACCCTTCGCTATGCGTACAACTTCACTTACGGAAGGACGTCAAAACTCAGACATGTTTAGTTCTGCACAATCCTTGCACGCGAATAAGTAGAAACGTATCAAGAGACAACAACTATGGACTAGATAATACTTTATTGCACGAAAATAAATAAAATATTGCAGTCAATAAATTAGAACTTTTATGGCATATTGCAAACAAAAGGACATCGTCTGTGCTGACAGTTCGACCATCGATTTCGATGACGTCCACCATGTGCCCCACAGCAGGTTGGAGCAGGGACGGTGACTTGCGCAGGGGTTTATAGTGCCAGTAGACTTGCGCTGCATCTACCTGCACTCTCTCCTCCTCCCCGCCTTGGCCCGATGTCACGACAGAGTCAAGAAGACCGGAGACGAGGGAGGCCGCAGGTGGATGGCTTGGACGGATCCTCACCTTGGCGTTCCACCACACCTCCTGGTCCACACAACAATAACCAGGATTTCAACCAACAACAGAGATTTGGAGGCTGCACGGCCGAAACCGCACATGGGCGTGCCGCCAACGCCTGGCTCGGATCCCACACTGTGGTGAGAGTGCCATAAAGGCCATATCAAGAAGGAGTCATTGCAGCCTGACTCTCAGACCGCCTCTAGTTAAGGAGGAGGACCAAGTTACCCCGTGAGTTGGCAACCTTCCAAGCCACGGCTTTAAGCGCACCGTGATTGCTTCAAGCGCGTCAGATTGATTAAAGTGAGGAAAGTGCGCTGAGTCGTCGACCTCACTCTCCCTTCCCTTTCACACACCCCAGCCGCCGTACGAGCCGGTCGGCAAACTGGAGTGGGGAACGGGCGCGGTGGCTGACATGGTCGACTGACCATGCCTGCGCGCGCCACAGCACGACCTGGCCTCCCATACACCCACAAACACCAGAATTTCACACAACGGGGGTTGAACGGCGTGTCTCTCACTTGCGTGAGAGGGCCGTGGAAAGTGCTGCTTCAGCCCGTTCCCAGCCCACCAGTCCGCCACTCCACATAGAACACGCACAACGCGACGAACTGTGTGAACCGAGAGCGGGCGTCAATCAGCAACCTTCCTATCCACGACACTTGAAGTGTCGGCATAGTCCCGGACTCAAATCACCCGTGCAGACGAAGCCGCGTGGGATCCGAGTCGAGATGCACACTTCGCACTTGCGTGGAAGGTGGCAGTTGGTGCATGCGGTGGGTGAGTGTTGATGTGTGTTGGTGATGGTGAAGGAGGGTAGGGAGTGTGTGGATGTGTGGTGTAACTGGCGGTTGTCTACCGCAAGTCGTCGTGGATGCGCATGTGGCCGAATAGGCCCATGCGGTGCCTAAAAGTGCGAGGACAGTGTGGGCAGTTGAGACGAGCTTTGTGGGTGTAGGTTGGTGCTCTAGGCACTGGTTCTCTGGTCTCTGTGTGATGGATTCGCAAGTGACTGACCAGGCCCATGCGTGAGGTGAATGTGCGTGGACAGTGTGGGCATGTGAAGTCGGTGGTGTCAGAATCAGCTACAAAGGAGGCGTTGGTGGTGGCGCAGATGGACGGTGCGAGGGTGGTGCTGGGCATCATGGGCGTGCTTGGCGTGTCGGAATTGTGGTCAATTCCGCTCTCCTGGATGCACATGTGGCCGGATAGACCCATGCGATGCGTGAAGGTGCGAGTGCAGTGTGGGTAGTGGAGGCGAGTGCGGTGGGTGTAGGTTGGTGCTCCGTGCACTGGTTTGCCGGACTCTGTGCGATGAATTCGCAAGTGACCGACCAAGCCGATACGTGAGGTGAAGGTGCGATCGCAGTGAGGGCAGGTGTAGACCTGATTCTCATTGCTGGAGTCGGGAGAGGCGGGGGTGATGCCGGTTGTTGTGTCGCGGTTGGTGATGTGCGATACGGCTGCCTGAGCGGCCGACGTTGGGGCAGTGGTGGTGGTAGTGGAGGAGGAGGAGGAGGAGGAGGAGGAGGAGGTTATTGAGGCGGTTGAGAAAGATGCGAGAGAAGATCTTCCCGGCGATGTTCAGCAGGGAGATGCCGCGGTGATTGTCGCATATTTGGCGATTCCCTTTTTGCTTGTATAGGTGCACGATTGTTGCGTCTTTGAAGTCTTGCGGGACTTCGCCTTTACGCCACATCTCCTGGAAGAGCGCAGTCAGGTGATCCATCAGTTGGGGACCTCCGTGCTTGTAGACCTCAGCAGGGATCGCGTCCGATCCGGGTGCTTTCCCTCAAGAGAGCTGCTGCACGGCCCTGATGGTTTCCTGGAGAGATGGCGGGAAGGGTAGATCCGCGTTGGTCTCCACTTGCGGTGCACGCGCGATGGCAGCGTCGGAGATGGCGGAAGGGCGGTTGAGGACTCCTCGAAAATGCTCGGCCCATCTCTGCATGATTTGCGTCTTCTCAGTCAGGACAGTACTGCCGTCAGCGCTGAGGAGAGGAGCAGTGCCCTTTGTCGGCGGACCGTAGGCAGCTGTGAGCGCAGAGAAGAAGTTCTTCCATTCGTTGCGGTCCGCGTAGCCTTGGATCTCCTCAGCTTTCCGAGCAGTCCAGGTGTCCTGCATCTCGCGCAGTCGCTGTTGGAGGTGGCGGCGACTGCGGTAGAAAGCAGCTGTGTTGTCGTCAGTGGGGTGATCTACGTAGGCTTTGAGTAGGCGGTTCTTATCAGCAAGCAGATTTCTGATGGCGGCGTCCTTGTAGTCGAACCAGTCCTGGTGTTGACGGGGAGCGCGACCAAGGATGGCGAGCGCCGTCGACTGGACCGTGTCTCGCAGTTAACACCAGCGGTTCTCCACGGAGGCGTTCTCGGCAGCGGCGGCATCGGTGATGGTGAGGTTGTCTAGCCGTTGAGCTAGCTCATTGCTGAAATGGAGATGGTGAGCGGGAAAAGACAATAAGACAACATTCGGCTTACCTGGGGATCGCTCACCTTGAGGTCTCCTGCGAGGCTGTAGGCGAATACGCATCTTCGAGATGACGAGGCGATGGTCGGTTCACCCGCCAGCACCCGCGATCGCCTTCGTCACCAGCACGTCCCGCTGGTCACGCCTTTGGACGAGGACATAGTCCAGCAGGTGCCAATTACGCGACCGAGGATGCGTCCAAGTGGTCTTCTCTCGCTCCGGCAGACAGAAGAACGTGTTCGTCAGGATAAGGCGGTGTTCTGCGCAGGCGCGGAGCAGCAGCAGACCATTGTCGTTTGAGCCGCGAAGACCGTGGGGGCCCAGCACTCCTCTCCAGGCAGTATGGTCTGTGCCGACGCGGACGTTGAAGTCGCCAAGGACAATCAAATTGTCCGCCTTCCGCACAGTCGCCAAGATGGCGTGCAGGTCCTCGTAGAATTTGTCTCTGACGGCGTCGGGGTTGGTCACCGTCGGAGCGTAGGCGCTGATG